GTCCCCATCCCTGGAGGTATTTAAAAGACGTGTAGGTGAGGCGCTGAGGGACATGGTTTAGTGGGCATGGTGGTGTTGGGTCGACGATTGGACTCGATGATCTTAGAGGTCTTTTCCAACCTGAATGATTCTATGATTCTATGACTTTACACTGGGCAAAGTCCAAAGTTTAATCCAGCATTTTTAGGATGTTCTCATCCCTTGACTCCACGCTGATTCATGAATAGAGCAAGTTGTTCTAGGGAATAGCAGTATTTGATCTACAGGCAACTTTTAAATTCTGTTTTGAGTTAATCAGATGGGGATTATTTGCAAGTGTAAGAAACAGTCATAAAATTATACCAATTTGTATATTAAGGCTTTCTGTCATTATTCACATTCTTTACAACAGTAATTCAACTCAGAAAAAAAACCCACCACCAAAATCAACCTGCAGAAGTAACCATCTGCTATTATTCAGTCATTTGTTTCCAAACCACAAATTGCCTTCAGCAAGTACTTTGCGTGCAGAGCTTGTTCTGCAAAGTACTTGCCTCACTCTCCTCCCACATCCCAACATCCAACTGTTTTGTAATTACTGTGAATCCAGACAAAACCAGGGAGACAGCAAGTGGTAAACACTAGGTACTTACATCATTGGATTGAAATAATCTGGTCATTGCAAAAAAAGCTTCTGTGGCTTCAGTGGTTCCTAAGTGTTCACCCTGAAAATAGCGTACAAGAAGCGAGAGAAAAAACACTGTCATTTTTCAGCTGCCTCCACCTTTCAGCCTCCACTTACAATACCTACCCACACACCAAGAATCTTTTCTTTGAGACTTTTTCACGTGTTAGCAGCAGTCCCTGCCTCACCTTGTGTTCCCTGGGGAGTACACGCCAAGTTTACCACTATTACCTACTTGGTTTCAACGTAAACGCCATCCACAGTGGTACAGCGGTGGAACAGTTTGACAAGTAGCCTGCGTTCCCTCTTTTGACATTAGCGTGTCAGCAGTTGGTTTTGTGTCACGCTTGTCAACCAGAAGGACTCCCTTGCTTAAAAGGGATTTCCTTAAAAGATGACTTGTGCCAATTAAGACCGAATAGCGTAGGTCCCTCCTAACTGATAGTAACTCTATGTTAAGTACTGCCTGACATGCAGGAAACCTGATTTATGTGGATGCCTAAAGAAAATCTCCTTCCTTATCACGCTATCAATTTCTCCCCAAACAAAAAGACACCTTCCACTTCATCACTTCCTGGTCTATGTTCTTACCTCACCTCACTTATTCCTGCTTTAGCTAGGCAAACACAAGTGGCTCTTTAATTGCACGGTGCTGCGGTGATCACAGACCAACCAGCAGCTCCCACTGGGCACTCAGAAAAAAGTCTTAAAAGCTTCAGTGACACATATCTCGCTCACCTTAGTGACAAAGTCAGAAGGGAGAACATAATACTACAGCATAAACACTCAATTTCTGATCTCCTTAAAAGCTACCTCCCAAATCTGACAGGAAGAGGTATAAAACTTCTTTCACAGTGAAAGTTATCAGAAATTAGCCTCAGGAATATTCATTCTGGCTGGGAAGAAATTGTAACGGTTACCTGGTTCAGCAAGTAAAGGATCTTGGTAAGGATGTGCAGGCATCTTCGTGGATTTATAGGGGTCTCATTAAAGATACGTGCCTACAAACACAGCATAAATACTGTATTACAGTGTAACCCACCAATAATTTCTCTTTCACCATAAAAAGTAAAGCAATTTGTTTTCAACCAAGTAGCTTATAACTTTTTTCATTCTAAAAATGTGTCCCAACAAGCATATTCCTGTCATTCAGCTCATGCACGTTCAGTTTGCCGGATGGGCGGCACTCTGAACAGAGGACAATGAGTCGGTGTCCTGGTTTTGGCAGGGATAGAGTTAATTTCCTTCCTAGTAGCTGGTACAGTGCTGTGTTTTGGATTTAGGGTGAGAACAATGTTGATAACACACCCATGTTTTAGTTGTTGCTAAGCAGTGCTTACACTAGTCAAGGACTTTTCAGCTCCCCATGCTCTACCAACTGAGCAGGCTGGAGGTGCACAAGAAGCTGGGAGGGGACACGGCTGGGACAGCTGACACAAACTGGCCAAAGGGACATTCCATACCATGGGACGTCATGCTCAGCCTATAAAGCTGGGGGAAGAAGAAGGAAGGGGGGGACGTTCGGAGTGATGGCGTTTGTCTTCCCAGGTCACCGTTACGCGTGATGGAGCCCTGCTGTCCTGGAGATGGCTGAACGCCTGCCTGCCCATGGGAAGCAGTGAATGAATTCCTTGTTTTGCTTTGCTTGCGTGCGCGGCTTTTGCTTTACCTATTAAACTGTCTTTATCTCAACCCACGAGTTTTCTTACTTTTACCCTTCCGATTCTCTCCCCCATCCCACCGGGGGGGAGTGAGCGAGCGGCTGCGTGGTGCTCAGTTGCCGACTGAGATTAAACCACGACAGTCGGTTTGCCATCTGGGACTAGCAAAACTACTTTAAAATAAAAGCAATAACAACTCAATTCCTTCCATAGCATCTGTAGCCCAAACACTACTCAGCACTGGTCTGTAAGAACACAAAATTGAAACTATTAAGTTCTGACCTAAAGCTCTTTGTACCCTTCAAAATTCTCCATTATTTCACCACACGTTCACCTCACCACTTGCAATCATTCTTGGAGTACACAAAGAGAAGCAGGAAGACTCGTTACACAGTACGTTGAAGGAGCACAGGAAAACAGGCAGACCACCTCTTCAGAAAGAGCACGCTGAGATCCTGCATGTCCACACGGAAGGCAGAAGCCACATGTAATCTAATTACCATACATAAACCCCTCATAGGCTAACCATGTGCACTTAATTTACATACCCTGTGATTTTAAACTAACTGTATGAATTTAGCCATTCACATTTCCCAAGAGTTGCACTGTAAAACTTCCTTAAGGTGCTAACGCTTCCTGAAGAAAAAAAAAGAGTTAAACAGTATTATACTATGATTATTCATACCTCCTGCAGCACAGCACTCTTCTCCAAGTGCTGGAAAGGATTAGAGCCACTACCTGAGGAACAAAAGAGACCTCTCAGTTAAGGAAATGCATTCTTCACAAAAAACAACGGAACCGAATATGCAGGAACAGCCCCTAAACTTTACAAAAACACCTCAATGCTACAGTGACATTCCTCTTGGACTAACTGATGTTCTCCATCAACAGCTTTGAATCCACTTTCTTAAGTTGTGTATTCAGAGTTACAGGGGGGAAAAAAGGGGGGGGGGCACTTTCAACACAGCTGGAAGATGAGAAAGAAGAAAGGTGTTTACTAGTAAGTTTGCCTTAATATTCCCTTTACATAAAACTATTTACTCTTTTTTTTTTTCCTAGTCCCCCTATTTTTATTCCTTCAGACACAGAAAGTACTGAAGGCATCAGGACAGAGCTGCTATCAGGATCTGAAATAGAAGTTTATTGATCAATGTGCCACTAAAACGGGCTACTCTGCAAACTCCAGAAACAGTCTGGCTGCTGCACATCACAAAATCGTTAACACTAGACTATCTCCATACTGTAACTTCTCAGCCTTTTAACAGCCCAGATCCAGCCGTTGAAAGTAATTAATTTCTTGGAGATGACATTTCTCTGTCAGCAGCGTACAGAGGAGACCAGCCTTCTAATCCACATTCACAGTGAAACCACCTCTCAGAGCCACTGTTACAAACACGTAAATCCCTCCAAACCCTCACTACTGCTTCTGACTCTTTTTCCTGCAGCAGTAATTTTTCATTTTCAGTTCATTTATTCTTCAGTTCTCACATCCCAAGCAGAGGGAAACAGAATGAAACGGAACTCAACCCGGCTGGGCACACCTTGCGGCTCAGAAGACCTCTGAGCAGCAGCAGCAGCAAATTCAAGATGGTATCAGTTACTACAGGCAACCTGAACTGAATCGCAAATTCAAGACGGCATCAGTTACTACAGGCAACCTGAACTGAATTTCCAGACAATTTTGTGGGCGAGAACGTGCAGGCGATGGCTTCATTTGCCACACCTGTGCCCCACGTGATGGGTTTTTTCCCGCCTGCCAGGTACCTGAACACACCGCTCCTGACACAGTCCAAACCACAAGGTCTGCGTGTGGGGAGGGTTGCTGCCCCGCTACCAGGCAGATCCCGACCAAGCCCTGCAGGCACTGCTCCTCCTCCCCGCGGCAAGGGCGGGAAGAGACCGCCAGCTGCAGCCCGGAGGGTTGCAGGGAAGCGGCTCCCTCCGAGCGCGGCCTCAGGGGCCCGGAGCGGGCCCTGCAGCCCGCGGCCCATCCTGAAGGGCCGGGGGAGGCTCCGAGGGAAGCCGGG